GGCATTGCCGATTTAATCACCAAATTGGGGGACTTCGTCTTCGCTTCGCATCGTTAAAAGCTATATTAACTATTAGCACATTACAGTGGCGGATCAAGGGTGGGGGGGGGGTTCAGGGGGTTCGGACGAACCCCCTCTGTGAAGAAACGTAACAAAATACTATGGGTCCTGGCTTACAAAATTCTAAACTAGAACGCGGACCTTCGCCCACTGCTCCCAAGCAAAGGTCAGGGTGAGAATTCAAAATAAAATGTTGACCATTTTTTCCAACAATCATACTTACTTTCCTTGACACTTATTTTGAACATTACCATTAGGAAAATGTTTAAATCCACACTATCCTATAGCTTACACTTTTAAACTGATTGTACTGTAGGCCCTACCAGAGAGAGAGAGAGGTATATTTCAAATACATTATGGTCTTCCACTTCTATAGCGCATGATACAGTGCATAGCAAACGTTATGTACTTGATAACTTGATAACTATGATATGATCACAAAAAGCAGAACTAATAGAAAAGGAGGCGGTGTATGTTTCTACACCAGGAGTGACCTCAAAGCTCAAAAATTGGACATCGTTCCCGATAATTTGGAAGTTGCTTGGATAAAAATACGCCCACATCGATTACCAAGGATTATTTCATTACTCTTCTTCGCAATTATTTATTCACCGCCAAATAACCCTAACAAAGATGCTTTGATTGAACACCTTGTTGATAGTATCTATCACTACAAAACATCACCAGGCCGGCTTAATACTCCTTGGTGACTTTAACGACCTTGATACATCACTAATTTCTACGCAATGCAACCTTAAACAAATTGTGACAGGCCCTACGAGAGATGATGCTACACTTGACAATATTCTGACTAATATGGCCCAATATTACACAACCCCAGAGATACAATGCCCAATTGGCAATAGCGATCATGCTACAATACTTTTGACACCTAAACAAATACAAAATCAGAAGTATGCCTTATGGGTTAAAACCGTCGGCCCAATGAAAGATTCGGACATCCGAGCCTGTGGTACTTGGTTATCACTTCATCAATGGAAGGAAGTCTTTGCAGCCTGAGTCTTTGACAAGGATACCATCCAAGAAAGAAGTGACGCATTTTACAACAGTACGCTCGGCTATGAACAACTTTTTCCCAACCAAAACAATGAGGTTACACCAAGATGTTAAACCCTGGATGACACCCAAGATTAAATCTCTTATTAAGAAGAGACAAACAGTTTTCCATAACAACAAAAATGACCCAAAAAGGAAGCGACTACATAATAAGATCATTGCTGAAATCAAGAAAGCAAAGGCAGATCACTATGCAATTAAGGTGCAACTTAATAAGGACAACAACTCTTCCCAGTGGTACCAGCAAATTAGAGTTATGACTAACCGTACCAAGACTCAAACGAATATTAACATGCCTGACAATGTTAACTCTGATATAAAAAGTATTGCAAACTTCATTAATACAAATTTTGTAACTAATGGTCTCAAACCCTTAGATCCCTTAAATTTACCTGCTTACAAACCGGATCCATATCATTGCCCTGAAGTTCATGAATATGAAGTATATAATGAGGTTATGAAAATTAAATTAGGCAAAGCTGGTGGCCCGGATAATATCCCAGCTAAATTCATTAGAAAGTTTGCTTATGAACTCAGCAAACCACTTAGAGTTAATATGTTAAACCAGTCGTATAAAAATGGCCAGCTTCCTTCCCAATGGAAGAAAGCTTCAGTCATTCCCATCCCCAAGAACTAGACCTGCATCATGGGATCAGTTGAGACCAATAGCACTAACTGATCATTTTGCGAAAATTGCGGAAGCTTTCATGACCAAGTGGTGGCTTGAGGACATAAGTCATCTTATAGACCCCAATCAGTACGTTAATCGTAAAGGTGTGTCTACCACTCATTATTTAGTTAAGTTACTAGATGAACTTTATAGGAACTCTGATAAAGTATTCGAGCACTCTTGTGGTTACAGATTTCAGCAAAGCCTTCGATCATATTAATCACAATGTATTTATAAACAAACTAATTGACATGCATGTCCGCCCCTCAGTTATCCCATGGATTTCATGCTTCTTACGAGACAGAACACAATGTGTCAAATATCAGGGTACTAGTAGTGATTGGGAAATCACCAATGGTGGCATCCCACAAAGTACTAAACTAGGACCTCTCTTCTTCTTAGTAATGATTAATGAAGCACTAAGTGATTCCATCCATACCTTTAAATATGTTGATGACATCACACTTGTTGAAAGTAAGTTGCCCAATCAACCAAGTCCTATACAAGAAGATTTAGGTACCTTTGGTAAATGGAGTAAGGAAACAACATGAACCTCAACCAAGTAAATGTGCCACCATGAAAATTTGCTTCTCTAAAAATCAAGTTGACGACCCCCCCCCCTTGACTATTTGTAGCACTCCGCTTAAGGTCGTAGATTCAGTAAGAATATTAGACATTCAACTCACCTCTGATCTTAAATGGAGAGTACATATGACTCATATTATATTTAAAGCTAATGGTAGACTATATATGTTGAAAATGTTAAAACACTTAAATCTCCCTTTGCAAGATTTGATCGCTATCTTTATGGCTTTATAAGACCCCTCACAGAATATGCTGCACCGGCCTGGCACTCACAACTCACTGATAATGAAACCAAGAATCTGGAAAGAATCCAGAAGAGAGCCTGTAAAATTATGTTAGGACACCGTTATCATAACTATGATAACGCACGCACTCTGTGTGGATTAGCCACAGTTAAAGAACGCAGAGAGAAAATTTGCCTAGATTTTTACAACTCACTAATGGTTAATTTTAAAAATTGGATCCCTAAAACCAGATTTGAGTGCCATGGTAGGAAACTTAGAAATGCCAATCAACTGTCTCTCCGTAGTCATAGGACCAAAAGATATTTTAATAGCCCATTGCAATATATGACCAGACTTTGGAATGAGAGAAAGGCCTAAAAATATTTTTAAAGATTTTATCTCCTTTTTAATTAATTTTAAGTAATGTATCGTAATTAATAATGTAGCTTGCGTTTTATACACCATTTTGCATGTTTCATCAGTTTATGTATTTGTTGTCGTGTATAGATTTTTAAAATATTTTTAAAATTGTAAGTGCCTGATGGTTTTAATGTCTGTTCCAAGTTTTTCTCTTGCCTTTTATAATGTCTTTTTTTTAAAGAATCTGTAAAATTGTTACAATTCAGTCTTTAATACTGCAATTACAATTATTTTTGAATAAAATACCTTTATGAAAAAAAAAATGTAACCACTAATAATACTTAGGTCCAGTGGCGTAGGTATGGACATTGCAGTCAGTGCACAGCACTGTGGCCCGGGGCTATTGGGGGCTCGTTCAATAGGTCTAATGATCTAAAAATATAACTTAAAAAAATCCTATTTAAACTTTAAAAGGACCCTTCAATAATAATAGGTTTTAGATGCTATATACACTATTATTGATTATATTCATTACAATTTACCTCTTACTTATTTCCCAAACGCTGCAGGTAAAAAAAAACAACAAAACAAGCCCTTACGTATACGATGCACTACTTTTTTGAAATCACATTTCTAAAGCAATAAAATATCGTCACGCACATTTGTGTTTGTGGTATTAAAGTTAATTGAAATTATTGTCTACGTTTTTAAACACTTCAGATCTTCATAACATCATGAATACGTTTTAGATTCAATTCACTGCAAGTAGGTCGATGACTGTTCTATTATTGAATGGTAAATGTTATTTTCGTGACGATAGACAATACCTGGATTTGCGTCAGGAGAATCAATTAGGGGGCCTATATGTATTTTGCCCAACCTGTCGTGAAAATATATTGAATACTCAGTGCGTAATTCAATATACATTTTTAAATCACATTTCTAAAGCAATAACATATCGTCACGCACATTTGTATTTGTGGTATTTTGAAGTTGGTTCAACTACTGTGTACCTGGATTTGCGTTAGGGGGCTTTTATGTGCAATTTTTCCCAACCTGTCGTGAAAATGTACTGAATATTCCATGCGTGTAAAAACGCTTGCAAAAAATGCTCAAGCCTATAATACTTACTACTATTATTGAATGGTAATTGTTATTATCGTGATGGAATAAACAATTAAGGGCGTCGATCCGTGGTTGAAAGTGGGGTGGGGGGGGGAGGGAACGAAATGAAAAATAAAGTCTTGGTTGGGTACCAGGGGGCGAAGTCCCCGAGAAGCTCTGGCGCCTATAGCCTTTTAATTGATTTTAAGCAATGCAATTAACATTTATTTCCATACGA